CCACGTATGTAAATCTGCTCTACAAACTCATCGTTTAGTATCGAGCACTCTCACCTGGAATAATCGACTACCTTCCTTTATATATATATATATATATATATATATATATATATATATATATATATATATATATATACCGAGTAATCAATCAAGAAATTAGATTAAGGAACGGCTGAATGAACACATTAATTTTGTCCATGTAATTTGACACCACTATAGTAAATTGCTGTTTCTTAAGACACGGCTTTTAAAATGTAATTCACTCTCTCATACATCCACCCACCGGGGCACTGTTTTCACCCAATGATGGTATTTCAAGACGGGAAAACCGTCCTCCCATTTAAGAAGAATAGTTCACATTTTTGTCAAGTATAAATAATATCAGGTGCGTTTTACCCTTCAAATTTTACTCACACAGTGGTCACATGACGATCGAACGAGAACCAGGGACCATCGATAAACGCAAGCCATACATAAATAAATATGCGCATATTTAATGAGAAAACGCACGATGTCATGGTTCTTAGTATTCAACCGGGGGTTGATCCGGTATCCGACACGAGGGGAGCGTGTATTATTATTATTATCATGGACTAGTAACATCCGGGTAATCTGTCACGCCGACGTGGTCACATGATAACATCAGTGGAGTGTGTCGTATTTGAATAATCCTATCTAGCTACATACAGTTACTAATCAAGCATATAGGCCTACAAGACATTTCCACGTCTGTACTCACATGCCGCGCATACAGAATGACATTATCCTTATTTTAAAAACCGTAATCATAACTATTTATTTATTTGTTGTACATTATAATTTATTTAATATCAGGAATTTAGACATACATGGGTCTATCATTAAACAGTGAGAAATCTGTTTTGAATTAGTAGATTTAATCAGGATATTGTTTTGCAGTAAATATTTGTCCTCTATTATATGCCCACATTGTAAACACATTCATTAAATTTTTGTTTTCATTTTTTTCTCTATAAAATCTACCCTCCAGAGTTTCTAATGGTCCACCCCTTAGGCAATAATGTGATATATTTGTGACTTCTAACAGAATCGATTTATTCCTGCTTCAATATTTAAAGCTCGGAGATAAACTGGATTCAGTGTGTCGATTGAGCGTGTCGAAGGCCTTGTGTGACGAGAGGTGGTTGCCCTCGATTTCAATCAATTGCAGTACTTTGAATTTATTCAAACATCAATTTAATATAAAACACGGTTCATTTTAATGTTAACGGCAACTGTTCTAGTGCACAAGTTTCTGTTATGTCATAATGTACCATATCTGATTGCGTCACACGGAAGCTCCATATGTCAGTGTTTACAGGTGACATTTATTTGCACAGTTTTAAAGCTGTAACTTTATTCACGGTATACCGGTATGCGGGGTACGTTTTTTAATCAACATAAAATTATATTCAAGTGATTTAAATCAAATTAGTTCAAATCAAATTGTAAAATTGAAATGTAAACAAACAGGATTTGATAGTTCAATTACTCGGCACATTTCCCACAATGCAGCGCGTTTCGTTGTACTGCTTTATTTTAGCTGGAATTAATTATGGCTGGAAAAACATTTTTGGTGTTTTCTATGAAGTCTATTTAAACTGATTCATCCCTTCAGCGAAAATAGTGTATTTTCCATTAACTCCGAGTCTGGAGTTATTTGATTGGAAGAATGTACGTTTTGATTTGCGCGGAATATTCCTACGTAGAAAATGAAACGAAGCGCGCATATTGTTTATTTCATATAATAAATCAAACTGTGTTGGCAATCATAGTTGTCGCTATGTCGGGCGCTGTGTAAATTCTATGCACTGCAACGAATAATTGAGGTCAAAGCGTCATGGTCACGTGACACCCGAACGGCAGCGCTCTGACTTCCAAAATCACCTGCCTGATACGAGAGGTTTCCATGTCTTCACCAGTTCGCACAGACTTCACGCATCTACAAAGATTTTGAAATGATGCCATCGATTTGTCAGGGTTAGGTCAGGTGCAGGGAAAGGGTTATAGTTCACCTACACGATTAGGATTCCGTTGTGTGTATATGTACTATAAGATGGTACAGTGTTGACGCAGCTTGTTGGTTTTAAATCCAAAGATCGTCGGCGCACACCAGCAGTTTTCAGTGAAATAGGAGGCACGGCCTGTACTTAAACAGAACGGCATGCACAAATCGTATTCTAAAGAGCTAAAGGAGCGAAAGCTTCGCCTAAAATATGGAGTAGATATGGTGCCACGAACGGAATACGCGTCATCTAGCGAATCCGGTAAGCACGTCCATTCATTCGTTATTATAATTAATATAACATCAGCGTAGATGTCAGGTGTCGACGATATGTAGATGTACTACTTATTAACAAATATTTTTCGATTCATCGCACGTCGAGAGGAGCGGTATTAACCAGATTTGGGTCGACATATCTCTCGCTGTGAGTGAAAGATGTACCGAATGTTCATGTTTAAGCTCCACACGAAGCAACCTTGACATATATCGAATGATGTTGTTTTTACAATTGTTCACACTACTGGGAAAGGAGGCGGATCTCGGTTTTTCATTTCGAGGTTCTTTAAACTGCATTTCAACAATCCATCCAGTGTAATTTTATCTAGGTCGGATTTTACGGGCGCATTAATCGAAACACGCTACAAGTACAGATTAATAATCAGTGTCAATCAGATATTGGTAATTTGGTCTGACTTATCATTAATCAAAATCCATCTACTTAACTTGATGGCAATTCCTTCTTCATACGAAGTTTCAGATCCGCCGAGACAGAGGCGTCTTGTTGCATGCATTTTGTAAAACGTACAATATTTAATATTGAAATTCGCCCAGAGAATTGCACTCACACTACCTGTGTTGTGCCCCATTGTTCACGAGTCGGCATTAGATGGATTATCACGTCTCAGTTCGCGGTTTAATGAATATTGTCCTGCCCGTTTTAGTGTAGTACTGTAAATCTAATTCGTAGCTTATTTTAATTAAAGGTCAACTTGCTCCAATGGTTGACACTGTGTAGAACGTTGTTGTATTATTTCACGCTCTATTCCTGAAATTGACAAGTTACAGTAATCACTGATATGTTATTTTTTATCGCTTGATCTCGAGCAAGCGTATTTTGAATTTCAAATTTACATTATTATTTTTTTGCTATACTCTCGCTGAGATTTCATTGGTCTAGTAATTTACTGTGACGTGTTGCTACAGGTGTAGGAAATATGTAAATTAGTGAGACGTAATTATGCAAATTTTGAACAAATTCAATTGAAGGAGCTATATCGGCGATATCGTTTGTTGTGGCGACGTGTTGCTACGTAAAGTTTTTACATAAACGATAAATTAGCAGGACGTGAATATTCAAATTTATGCAAATTTCAATTGTAGTAACTTTTGCTACACGTATGTGTACGCAATCGGTAAAAAATATAACGTAATTATGCAAAGTTATTCAAATTGGGGGTGAAGAAATGATATTTGTGTAGCGTCATTATGACGTGTTGCTACACAGAAATATGTACAAAAATACATAAATTAACAGGACGTAATTAATAATGCAAATTTATGCAAATGTGGAGTGAAGAAACGATAGTATTTGTGTAGTGTTCTTTTGACGTGTTGCTAAACAGAAATATGTACGAATTACATAAATTAACAGGACGTAATTATGCAAATTTATGCAAATTTTGAGTGAATAAACGATAGCTACGTGCTACACATGTAGGCAATATGTAAATTAACAGAACGTAAATATACAAATGTATGCTAATATTTACGATATCGGTGATATGTTTTGGGGTGACCTGTTGCTACACAAGAATGTGTAGGAAATATGTAAATAATATGAGGTAATTATGCATACCATGTAAACAACGGCCAAAGGTCAAATCTTCGATTAACAATAAAAGCGACATTATACACATACTAAATAAGGTCACCCTGACATAAAATATTTTTGCTTTCCTTCGTTGAGGGGATTCTGTAAAACAGCAATTGGAAGGAACATTTTGATTGAAATTAAAATCGACGCTTCTCCAAGTTGAGATAAAAGAATATGCCTACCCTCATTGGTTCCAAGTAAATAATTTCGATTAAGGGTGCCGAAACATTTAATGCTATTTAAACATTCAACCGACATTTATTTTATGAAGCACAGTAGTGACATAGACATAAATATGTATGGTAAATGTTCTTTGTCGGATAATTTTATTGGAATCGTCTAAATAAAATATATATCTATGCGTGTGGGACTTACAGTCTTATCAATATTCACGGCATTAACGGTAAACTCTGCATACTGAGCTGTTATGTAGTACTTTTATATAGTTTAGCAATGTCGGCGTCGAGGTATCCATTATTTGAAATGATAAGCGATCGACAGTCTCTTCATATGCTAATATGCGTCAGATGGACACAAATACGGTATTGCAGATAATGAAAGGTCAGGAACCGTTTGTACGATTTATTTTACGAAACTAACATCATCTGCATCCGGCGTTCCTCGATCGCGAAATTTTATGTGACATTAAAACATTACATTGGGTTGAAAACATGCCCGGTGCGTTTCTCTAGACAACACACTATACTGTGTACTGTAAATTACATTATACTCCCCCCCCCCAGTGTTCTTGAACACCTCGGATTTGGTTTATACCGGATGTAGAATTCTAGAACCTTATCGCAACGTATTGTTGGTATCAGAGATGGCTGATTCACACCAAGTCCCGGAGATGAATGTCGAGTTCTCACTGTTTACAACTAACTTGACTGCAGTTGTTCCAACTCCCTGTAATAACAATTCTTCAGTGCCACCCCCACAAAAAAAACAAAAAAACAAAAACAAACAAGCAGTGCAACGGTCTATATGGTATTAGTTCGTAAATTCACAGTTGCATATTACGTTTTTTTTAAATGAGGATATACATTTTTATAACTAGAATCCCTGTCTCTGGCTTCAAAACACGAGATTATGTCGTGCTTTGAGTCTTTGTTGTGCGTCTATGTGTGGTAACTTCATTATTAGTTTTTGTAGAAATCCATGCGTATCATCACGCGTGATTAGCAAATAGACCATATGTAAATTAACTTATGCATGACCCCAGAAAGGTCATACATCCTGGTATTGTATGGGAGTTTCTCTATAGATGAAAACGTCTCGATTATATTTAAAAAAATGCAATCGGTAGTAATTTAAGCAACGATTGAAGTGTAATGTACGCAATTAATACTATTACGAGACAATACTCCGGAAAGTACCCGGATGTGTGACATTTAGGATCTAATACAATTTCTCCCAACACGATATGATGTATTGCTCGAATTGAAAAAAATAACAATGGGCGAGTTATCCATTGTTACTAAATTGACACATTTCATGCTAGTTATCTTTTTTATCAATTCCTTACAAGTATAAAAAAATAATATGTAAATATTGCAATAATGTGTTTCACAGGTTTATGCATATTAATTAGCTTGATTTAAATATACTTTACTTTTGAGCAAATTCTACTTCAAATAAACGGCTAAAATTCAACTATAAAGTCTGCATATATAAGAAGGCCAGGTGCAAGATGGCCACTTTTTGACCATGTCTATCAAAACAAGTTTTTTTTATCTTTTGTACTGCTTATGAACGTATTTATGAAAATTTATCAATATCGATCATCAGTTTTTATTCAAATTATTACACCGAAGTCAAGTAAGGCATGTTAATACTTATAAACATGATTTATAGGTTTATAAAACCAATCGTTTTCATCTGAAATCAGTCTCATTCAAATCCAACAAAACGGTTGCATTAGCCTCTCTCCATTCTGTCAGCCTACGTCAGGGCACGAACTCGTACAGTGTGGTAACTACCGCTCGAGTACATAAATAATTTCTAACATACCCGCTTTACCTACATTCAGTGTATAGTACACGTTTATATTGAGCAAAAGTAATGTCCAGTCGTGTCTGTAATTTGAACTCTATGCCGAGAGAATAGCTTATCGTATTTATGATCTACCCTTAAACCAGCTGAGCATGCGTGGCAGTTATCGGGGTAATTTGTCAAAACTGCGGTTTTCGCGTTAGGCTTGAATCAACATTAGTTTTATATGCTATGTAACGTTATATAGAGTATGTTATGTAATGTTGCGTGAAATGTTGTTTAATATTGTGTAATGTTGTGCAATGCTGCGCAATGTTGTGTTATACTATGTAATGTTGTGTATCAACATGTTATGTTGTATATTGATGTGCAATGTTGTAAAATGCTGCATGGTTATGTGCAACATTAATGTTGTGTTTGTTATGTAATGTTTTGTATGTTGTGCATGGTATGCCTTAATTACTGTTAATGATGTGCGCTGTGTTATGCTGTTAAAT